CGATGGACGTTTAGCTGCATGACATACAATGTGGATTTATACTGTAGTTCCTTTTAAATTACCGACTTGAAGCTTCACACTATTTCACATACACATTTAAATTGGTCTACTAATCTTATTTATTCTGGGAGCATCTCGGTGGTGTTTGCTCTAGAGATGTATCAAGGAAGTATAGTTATAGCACACTAACATACATCAAGTTTAGGCCTTGGCAATAAAGAGAAGTTATGTGCATTCAGGATGATTTCTGGTGTGCATAGCTTGACTATTAATGCTAACAAAATTTGCAAAGTAGTCATTACGAAAAAAAATACAAATTTTGGTAACTATGTTAGATATAGAAGTAGAAATAATGAAACAATGAAGATCTGCTATTCTTTATATATATATATATATATATATATAAGCAAACATTTAATTTTAGCAATCATCCTACATGACTGCGAAGAATATCATTCTCTTTTTCCACATTTTTTAATAGCTGGCAAAGTTTATTGAGGCCATTTTCAGCAATAACCAATTTTTTGTTGCTGGCCAAAAGTCTATTTTCTGCAGATCGTACCGTATCTGCAACAATTTGCTTAAACTTGGTCTAAAAAGTAAAGATAGTAGTAGATTAAATAATAAAACCCACCACCATAGAATCTTTGTCTGAAGAAGCGATTAAAAGATTTTTCTCTGATAGTTCCGTCTTTAGGTCGGCTAATTCATTTTTCATTTTGACAAGGTTCTCTAAAAAAAACCAGGAAGGAAAGATTAGATTAAATTTTCACTTGAGTTAAGCTGCACGTAAATGACCAGATATTATTTATGAAATTATAAACAAAAAGGAAGATAAAGAAAAAAAGATAAATAGTTTACTTCTAAAACTACCTTTGGCAGAAGCATTAGCTTTCTCCTCTGTACATAATTTCAGCCTACGCTCTTCAGCAAGACGAATGTAATAAGCTTTTTCACGAATTTCGATAAAAGTTTTATCTTTTTCGCCGTCTAATAATTTTTTCTAAAGTATTAAAAATATTATTTAGTCCAAAAATAAACCTTCAAGCTATTAATTATTTATTAAGTTTTCTACGTTTGTAATAAGCAAGGGAAAAGAAAGAGCCTAGATGCGTATATAATAAGAGATCTACGACAATAAATTTGTATTCGGTGCCATGTGATCAGTAAACT